TAACACACTGCCTTGATTACTGTAGCTTTATACCAAGTTGTGTAATAAGGAAGTGTAAGTTCTTCAACTCTTAGTCTTTTTCAAAATTATTTTGGCTATTTTAGATTCTTTTCCATGGAGATTTTAGGATCAACTTTTCTTGCAGCTTCTATAAAGAAGACTATTGTAATATTTAATAAGGATTATGTTAAATATATTAAACAATTTTGGAAGAATTGACATCTTGGCAATGTTAGATCTTTCAATCCATTAACATAGTATATCTCTCCATTTATATAGGTCTTTAAAATTTTTTTCTCAACAATATTCTGTGGTTTTCTGTATCAAGGTTTTATATGCATTTAATTAATATATTCCCAAATAGTTTACTATTTTTATGCTATTATAAATAATATTGTTTTTAAATTTTCATTCTCAAATTTTTTGCTGCTAGCATACAGGAATACAATTGATTCAACAACCCTGATAAACTCATTTATCAGTTCAAGTAGCTGTTAACAGATTCTTTAAGATTTTCTATGTAGATGCTCATGTTTCTGGAAATAAGACAGTTTTATTTATTTTTATCCAATCCATTCTTTATTTCCTTTTATTACCTTATTGCACTATCTAGAATTTCAAATGCAATGTTCAATGGAAGTGGTAAGAGTAGACATCCAAATCTTAGAATGAAAGTGTTCAATAATTCACCATGAAGTATTGTTAACTATAGGCACCTTTTGCCAGGTTGCGAGAGGTCTCCTATTTCTAGTTTGCTGAAAGTTTTTATAATAAATGTCTTTTGAATTTTGTCAAATGCTTTTTCTGCAAGTATTGAGATGATAATAGGATTCCCCCCCCCCTTTTTCCTCTTAATATGGTAAAGTACGTAAATGATTTTTGAGTAGTAAATCAATGGAGGTCATGATGTGTACCCTTTTACTATATTGCTGAGTTGGATTTGCTAATATTTTAAGGAATTTTACATCTAGGTTCATGACAGATATGGGCGTACAATTTTCTTACTTGCAAAGGCTTTGTTAGTTTTTGTCAGGGGTTATATTGACAATTTTCCCTCTTCTTCCATGTCAAGAAAGAATTTGTGTAAGACTGGCATTATTTTTTCCTGAAAAGTTTGAGAGAATTCACCCTCTCTCAGCTAAACAGAGAATTAAGAATTGAAATGAGAATTAAAAACTGAAGCCATTTAAGCCTGGAATTTTCTTCACAGGAAGAGTTTAAACTACAGTGTTTAAAAACAGATATATGGATATTCAGATTACAATTTTTTTCTTGTGTCTGTTTTGGTAATTTGTATCTTTCAAATAATTTGGTAATTTCATCTGAGTCATTAAATTTATATTGTGTATAACATTATCCTTTTGATATATATAGATCTGTAACGATATCTCTTCTTTCCTTTACAATTTATGCTTTTTTTTCTCTTTTTGATCCTGCTAGTAATTTTATTTTATTTTTTTCAGAGAACCAACTGTTGCTTTTGTTAATTTTTGCTATTGTTTGTCTTGTTCTATTTCATCGATTTCTGCTTTTATATTTATTATCTCCTTCCATCAACTTATTTTGGCTTAATTTTCTTAACTTTTCTTAGCTTACTTAGTAAGGTAGAAACATAGATAATTGATTTATATGTTCTTTTCTAATATAAGCATCTAAAGCTATAAAATTTTCTCTTAGCATTGCTTCAGCTGCAACCCACAAATTTTCATATGTTGTGTTTTCATGGTCATTCAATTAAAAATATTTTAATATTTCTTCTTAACCCAAGAAAAGTCATTTTATCTTTTCCTGGTTCTGTCTTTTTCATCTCTAATGTGAGAATGTTGTTATTAAAGCTCTCTAAGTCTATTTTATATTTACCATTGTCTGATGATTCGTTGAGTAACTAAAATTATAATTTTTAATTGGCCATAGCATGCAGCTTGCCTTTAGAATTGAACAGATTTTAACATTTGGTCTTTTATTTTTAAGCACAAAATGTATTAAAATATTTTTTAAAGACTTTTTTTTTTTTTTTTTGCAGTACGCAGGCCTCTCACTGTTGTGGCCTCTCCCGTTGCGGAGCACAGGCTCCGGACACGCAGGCGCAGCGGCCATGGCTCACGGGCCCAGGCGCTCCGCGGCATGTGGGATCTTCCCGGACCGGGGCACAAACCCGCAGGCTCCGGACACGCAGGCTCAGCGGCCATGGCTCACGGGCCCAGCCACTCTGCGGCATGTGGGATCTTCCCAAACCGGGGCACGAACCCATGTACCCTGCATCGGCAGGCGGACTCTCAACCACTGTGCCACCAGGGAAGCCCTAAAGACATTTTTAATGTGAAAATATTTGAATTTCGAAGATGTTACTTAGTAACTTTCTCTAGGGCTATGCAACACTATTTCAAAGTGAAACCATATACCTATTGACAATAGGAGACAAAAACCATAGTCATCTAACTACAGTAATGTATTTGGTCTTTATGTTTTCAGAATAAGTGAAATGTTAAAAAATAAAGATTAAAAATAAAGAACAATGTTGAGAAATCAAATAATCTGAAAATACAGAAGTTAAAAAAGAGCTTCTCTAAACAGGACTGTGGCATCATAAATAATGTATCTGATCTTTGTTCCTGGTTCCTGGCACAAAGGTTCAAAACCCCATGAAATTTCCTGAGTGATAGGAGACTCTTTGTTATGCTAATTATGTGACTCATGGCATAAGACCCCTTAGATTGCTTCAGGACAGGGCTGCTCACCAGAGAGACCAATCACATGATTAGAGGGTTGGAATATTGGGTCAGCATCATCTGGGAGGAAAGGAGGGCTGGAAGTTGAGTTCAATCACATGGGCAATGATTTAATTAGTCATGCCTATGTAATGAATCCCCATAAACACTCCTGACACCAAAACTCAGTGGCACGTTTTGGTTGGTGAACACATTGATGTGCCAGGAAGGTGACACACCCTGACTCTATGGGGAGAGAGTGTGGAAGCTTCATGTCTGGGACCCTTCCAGACCTTGGCCTATGCACTTCTTCATTTGGCTGTTCCTGAGTTGTATTCTTTATAATAAAACTACAATTGTAAGTAGAGCACTTCCCTGAGTTACTTGGCTCATTTTACTGTAGTACCCCCAGTGGGAGTAGAAACAGAATAAGGACACCATAGAGGAAAAAAAACATATACTTGTTGTAGAGAACATTGGTCATTCTCCATATTGATGCAATAAAAATTCACATTTTAAGGCAAGACAAGAAAAATTTAAACATATTTTCTTGCTCTGCCCATCTGGGCCTCTTACCTCCCCTCTAGTATCCATTATGCATCTGCATTATGCATTAACCAAACCTCCCCAATGGCAGAAATACCTGCTCAGTCATAAAGATCAATTTTTTTCCTTCTGGCACCAGCCATGTAACTCCTTAGAAATTAACATTGCTTTTTGCAATCTTGTAAGGGGTCAAGATGACCCACTGCTCACCTTGTATGTGCAGACATCTTTGGTGCACTTTATGTACAATGCCAATGCATCATTTCCCTTAAAGATAGCGATTGGTGCAAAACAGACTGGTCAGATGACCTGGGGAGATACTGGGTCACACCTAATGGAAGTTTTTAACTTAAGTACTCACTATGACCTTAGTACTTGTATTCTGCCTATTTTACAAGATTATTGTTTCTTGCATTACCAAATGTGTGACTGTGATAAAATTAATGATGATTAGGCAACTTGAAACAATTGACCAAATATAGTTCTATAAGATCAATGATTATAATAGTGTAACTCTAGATATGGGAAGAAGCAACAAGAGGGAACCCTTTCCTGAACCATAAGAGACTAGTATGACAGGCGTTCCAGAGGTTTTTGGCCACTGTTAACAGGGTTTGGTCCAGTAATAGTACATTGAGCGGCCTAACAACGAAATTCTTGCCCAACCTGGGAATAAGTATTCCTAGCGCCATGGAACAAATTGGTCATGAAATGCCTCCCAAATCTTGGTCGAAATTAAGGCCTAAAGGTAAGAGATTGTAAAATAAAGAATGCTGCCCACCATCCAGTCCTACAAGAATCAAGTCATTAGGCACTGAAGCTGCTGACTTACAATACACCCTGAAAGGAATTCAGGGTGAAGATCACGATGTGGTGCTTTGTGCTGGGGGAAAACTGACAGAACTGGCCTTCAGACAGTTAGATATTTTCAGGAGAAATTTCTTGTGAACTTGGATTCTTGCATCTTCCCATACTTAGAAAAGCACTAAAACCATTAACTAAAATGTCTGTTCCTTGTGACTAGCAGCAACCTTCTACTGAGATGCATACTTGATTGCATACACCCCTTTTGCCAAAATCACATATATACTGGCCTCCCCCTTTACCTCTTCAGAACAGTTCTCAGAACTCTCTGAGAGACTGTCTCCCAGGTTATAATCTTTATTTTGGCTCAAATAAAATATTCCATTTCTTTCTTAGATTGGCTATTGATTAATTTTTTGTCAACAATATCCAGGCTTGCTTTTTCACATAACAATAGATTTTTGCAGTTAGGTACATGTTCACCCAGCTGAAAACTATATTTCTCAGCCATCCTTGCAACTATGCATGTATAACTAAATTCTAACCAGCAAGACATATGCAGAAGTGTTATAAATCCTCCCTTTCTCTTTTTACGATGAAAGCTATTTGCTGCCTCTGCAAACCCTAACCCTAAACCTAACCCTAGCCTTTTACCTTTTAACAGCAGATAGCGACTCATTTGTTATTTTCTTTCTCTCTTGAGATTGGCATCTGAAATCCAAGACTTGACCCTCTTTAAAACATGTATTATACTGCATAGGATATTTAATACATTTATTTGAAAGATTAATAAATTGTGCCTGAAGTCCCAAGAACGTGCTGTGGCCAAGTTGGTAATAGCAAGTCACAAGGCCTGGATTCTTTACAGAGAAGATGTACATCGATATGCATAGTCACTATTTCCAAAAACATTTGCATAGACACAGAACATGAAAGAGGCACCTGTAGGAAAAACTCCTCCATCAGGGCCATGGTCCATCGGTGGTGCAGCTGCCAGGATTTGGCTGGGTGACTGATGTCTGCTGCATGGAGGATCAGGGACATGGTTTTGGCTTTGTCAAGCCTGTCAAAACAAGGACATGCTCAAATTATCAGAACAAAGTAACCAGTTAGTCTCCTCTGAGTCCAAGCCCACATACCTTTAACATGAAAAAAAAAACAACAACAAAAAACCTACCCTTCAGGCTGCTGCAAACTGTTTCTTATATTTTTAATTTGCTGGAAGTGACCCGACATGTCTGTAGACAAAACCATTTCAATCACTAGGTTCCGAAGATCCCTGTGGAGTCATCAAAAGCAGAAAGGTTTGTTTGGCCCCTTTTTGTTTTCAAGTGAAATATTTCCTTAATATTGTGAGTTACATTTTATTTTTTCTAATGGTATAAGCACAAAAGATGTTACATTTTAAATGTAAAAGAGCTTACAAAAGTTTGGCTTTAGGATGTTGCCAGGAGAGTGATTTGTGAATGATGCTGTGCAACATCTCCTTTTAAAGAACTGGATGCTTTCCCTCCCACAACTATATCCCTCCCCCACTCATAATTTCTAAATATTATTTTTAGAAATAATAATTAATATCAGAAAGAATCCTAACCAATTTTAAAGAAAAAACTATTCTAAAGGCAGAATTTGTGATTAAGAAAACCACCACCATTTATTCAGTATTTATTCAATCAAGGCAGTGTTCTAGGTGCTTTTATGTGAGGGGGTACTATTATTTCCCACCAGAGGGGATTGAGTTGTTTGCTTAGTCACACAGCTAGTACATAGCAGAGATAAGATTCACCCCCAAGAGTTCCCACTAGCAAAGCTGACACTTGGATCACTACACTGTACCAAGCTTCCATCACTCCACTGTACCAAGCTTCCATCATGAGGACTCCAGAGAAACCAAGGCTATAAGTGAGCGGGAATTCTCTGTTTAAGCCCTGGGGACCCGGATCCTATATATCATAGACAGAGCTACTGGTACTGTTAAAATTTTAATCAAGACACTGCAAATATGGTGAACATATCACAAAGCCTATGAATGAATAACTCATTCTCACAGTAAGCAGGAGATGAGTAATGCCAGTAAAGCCTTGCATGTTCTACAGTTCATTGCTTGCTCAGTACAGATAGGTAAAAAAGTCACTTACACTGGAAATGATATTTTATTTCATTCTGTGGCCAATAGAGTAAGCTAAATTACAGGTGTATGCTAAACTTGAATTATGATCTTGTGTCAAAGATATTTTACCTAAAAATGGTATGAGTGAATGATTTGTTTTTAAGAGCAACCACATATTGGAGATTCTTGCTGAAAATTATGGGTGCTCAATTCAGTTGGATTTTTAGATAAGAGCAATGAGAAAACAATACTCTGATTACTGTTCATGATATTGGATAGCTTGCTTAGAATTCTTTTACCCAAATATTAAGGGAATGAAAGCTATCAAAGATAGTTAATACTTATTCTCAATTACATTTTTTCTTCTAAATTACGAGATACCCATGTTACAATACCAACTGTACCAAAATATTCATGTTAACTAGGAAAAATGAGACAAAAGTTTTATGAAATCTATAAAATTTAATAAATACTTTGTACTTTGCAGATGTGATTGTTAAAAAAGAGACAACAGACCCAAAATGGAGTCCTTGTGCTAAGCCCACATCACCAAACCAAGACTTAATACCTCCCCCAGGATTGGAAACTTAAACCAATCAATGTGGAATTACCTGGTCAGCACTAGTGAGGTAATCCACCTGACAGACCCCTGTCATCCCCCAAAGGAAGATGAAATTTGCCTGAAACAATCTGTTCCTTGATAGAATTACTTCCTTGTCTTCCTCTTTCTGCTTATAAAAGCCTGTCATTTTGTACAGTTATTTGGAGCTCCTTTTCATTTGCTAGATGGGATGCTGCCCAATTCATGAATTGGGTTGAATAAAGCAGACAAGATTTTTAAAATTTACTCAGTTGAACTTCATTTTTTAACAGTAATCAATAAATGTTAGATATTATCAATAATCAACTAATATCAATAGGCAAGCTAGTGCACAAGGAAATGTTACTTTATTTATACATTTTTCTTGCCAAAATTTAAAAATTACTGCATTTATAGTTACTAAAGTTACTTTAAAAAATAAATTTGCAGGGCTTCCCTGGTGGCGCAGTGGTTGAGAGTCTGCCTGCCGATGCAGGGGACACGGGTTCGTGCCCCGGTTCGGGAAGATCCCACATGCCGTGGAGCGGCTAGGCCCGTGAGCCATGGCCGCTGAGCCTGCGCATCCGGAACCTGTGCTCCGCAACGGGAGAGGCCACAACAGTGAGAGGCCCGCATACCACAAAAAAAAAAAAAAATAGATTTGCAAACAGAAAACCTACAAACCCTTAAAAAGCTACCCGTATTTTATTTTATTTTATTTTTTTATTTTTAATTAATTAATTAATTAATTTATTTATTTATTTTTGGCTGTGTTGGGTCTTCATCGCTGCGTGCGGGCTTTCTCTAGTTGCAGTGAGCGGGGGCTACTTTTCGTTGCAGTGTGCGGGCTTCTCATTGCTGTGGCTTTTCTTGTTGTGGAGCATGGGCTCTCGATGCGCGGGCTTCAGTAGTTGCAGCACGTGGGCTCAGCAGTTGTGGCACATGGGCTTAGTTGCTCCACCACATGTGGGATCTTCCCAGGCCAGGGCTTGAACCCCTGTCTCCTGAATTGGCAGGCGGAATCTTAATCACTGAGCCACCAGGGAAGTCCCACTATCCATATTTTAATTCTTGGTAAAATAGTATCAAGTTTATACTATTAAATAAATCTTTTACAGCTTTTTTGGAAACAGTGTTAAATCATATGATAAATCAAATCATAAATCATGTGATATTACAGTATGTGTTAAAAAAATTTGGGAATTCCCTGGCAGTCCAGTGGTTAGGACTTGGTGCTCTCACTGCTGGGGCCATGGGTTCTATCCCCGATTGGGGAACTAAGATCCTGCAAGCCTTGTGGAGCAGCTGAAAAGAAAAATTCTATAAAAACACTCAATTAGGATGTTTTGTACAGTAACTTCTTAGCTACTGTACAAAAAATTAGAGGAGTAAATTATGAGAATAAATAATAAAGACGTTAAAGAACAAAGTGTAATAGAAAAAATGACACTGAAATAGCAACAGAATAACTTTGAGAAGAAAAACGTTAATTCAAAGGAATAATAAAATTAATAATACAAATGTTACCTCTGGGAATGATAATCACTGATGAAGAAATAAATTAATACTCTAGATGTAAACAGTCAATCTCTCAGACCTTAGGAAACACCTCTGCACTTGTGTCCCTGCTTCTACCTTTGCCCTTCTATTTTCCCCATATCCAGCAGTGGTGGCTTCACAATTAGATCCTGGCCTTCCTAGGTTGGTGACCCAACTGTGCTATTGTTTCCTGTGGCAAAAAATGAGAGGCCTGAATTGGGTTCCCAAAACAAAATGCCTCCTTCCCCTGACTTCAGAGCTTTTTCTACAGTTGCAAAAGTGAGCCCATATTTTTTCCAGCCTTGAAAATCCAGGAAGTTTTAATATTTGGAGAAGTAACCATGGGAAATTAGGGCTTGTTTTAAACCCTGAATTAAACTTTTATTTATTTATTTTAAGGCAGATCTTAATTCCAGGTTACTTCTTTGGACATTTCTTTTCACCTTGATTTAAAGAAAAAAACAAAAACAGAAACAAACCTAAACAACACTTTGATATTTGAATTTGAATAGGAATTTTTTCAGCCCATTAACTGACTTTTAACAAGATCTTAGTTAAAGATAAAGGCTTCCTTTTTTTTTTTTTTTTAATGTAAGTAGGTCCCACAAAAAATTAGGGATATACTTACACTATAAAATGTCTATGTTTATCTGAAATTTATATTTAACTGGATGTCCTTTATTTTTATTTGCTACATCTGGCAAGCCTATAGTCAAATGAAGGGGATGATGATGACCTGAGGATCAAGAAGAAAGGAGGGAATGTTATGCTGAGTAGTAGGGGTGCATCTTGTTATTTTTCCCTGCATGGCAATAAGCAATACCATTTCACATAATTTTTTTTTTCTTTTTAAGAAGACAGATGCCTTGGAGAAACATGTAAGATTACCCTTTGCATCTAGGTCATTTAAGTATGTTATATTCATAATTTTTTCCCCAAATAGTGAGTTCTTTGTTTTTAAGAAAAGCTAAACACATATAGCAAAGTAATACATGAAGGGATCAGTGTGATGCTAAAATTTTAAATTCATGTAAGACCACATACTGGTACAGCTCAGCAGAGCTCCATTCCCGGGAGTATGTAGTTATGTATCTTAAGGTTTTTCTTATGTGGTACATAATCTTATGGACTGGCTATGATGCATATAGATGTTGAATTGGCCTTGAAATAGTTCAGCTCCATATTACAGAGCCTGGCTCCTGAACCGTCTTCTAGGCACTAATCATTCTCAGAATCATCCAGTCAAAGGGAACTGAATTTGTTTTGTGAGTAAAAGATTGACTTTCATCTGTTTTCTTCAGTTTACATCACTTAACTTTTTCCCTAAAATTAAATTTCCTCTAGGTTTCCTCTGAAACTCACCTCCAGTCATCTTTGGATAAATTTACCAGGACATTCATTTCTTCTTCTTGCATAAGTCGATAAGCTGCACTCACATGGTGATTTTCAAGGACGGAGCGATCATTATACAAAATGGCAACATCTGACCTAAGAATTAAAAACAAAATGCCAAGTAGAGGATTTCTTTAGACCTCATGAGTGTCTTTGAAAACTACTCAAGTCATAAGACAAAATATCACCCATACAAATCCTATAATTAAACACCTAGACTTATGGAAGTACTTAGTTTCCTTTCTTTTTGTTTTTTACTGTATGATAATTTAAAAAAATAGCATTTATTTTTTAGAGCAGTTTTAGGTTCACAACAAAATTGAGCAGAAGGTACAGAGATTCACCATATACCCCCTGGTCCCCACACATGCATAGCCTCCCCCATTATTAACATCCCCAATCACAGTGGTACACTTGTTGAAACTGATGAATCTACATTGAACATCATTATCACCCAGAGTCCATAGTTTACATTAAGGGTTTACTCTTAGTGGTGTACATTCTATGGGTTTGGACAAATGTATAAGGACATACATCTACCATTGTTGTATCATACAGAGTATTTTCACTGCCCTAGAAATCCTTTGTGATCTGCCAGTTCATCCTTCCCTTCCCATCCCCTGAACCCTTGGCAACTCCTGATCTTTTCATTGTTTTCACAGTTTTGCCATTTCCAGAATGTCATATGGTTGGACTCATACAGTATGTAGCCTTTTCAGATTGAATTCTTGAATCTTTTAGTATGCATGTGAGCTACCTTTATATCTTTTCATGGCTTGATAGCTCAATTCTTTTGAGCACTAAATAATATTACATTATCTGGATGTATCACAGTTTATTTATCCACTCACCTACTGAATGACATCTTGGTTGCTTTTGGCAATTATGAATAAAGCTGCTATAAACACCTCTGTGCAGGTTTTTGTGTGGACATAAGTTTTCAGCTCTGTTGGGTAAATACCAAGGAGAGTGATTGCTGGCTCACATGGTAAGAGCATGCTTAGTATTTTAAGAAACCACCAAACTGTCTTCCAATATGGCTGTACCATTTTGCATTCTCATCAGCAATGCATGAGAGTTCCTGTTGATCTACATCCTTACTAGTGTTTGGTGTTGTCAATGTTCTGGATTTTGGCCTTTCTAAAAGATGTGTAGTGATATCTCGTTTAATTTGCATTTCCCTGATGACATATAATATGGAGCATCTTTGCATAAGCTAATTTGCCATCTGTGTATCTTCTTTGGTGAGGTATCTGTTAAGGACCATTTTTAAATCAGGTTCTTTATTTTCTTATTGTTGAGTGTTAAGACTTCTTTATATATTTTGCACAATAGTCCTTTATCAGATGCATCTTTTGCAAATATTTTCTCCTACTCTTTGGTTATCTTGTAATTCTCTTGATATTGCCTTTCATAAAGCATAAATTTTTAATTTTAATGAGGTTCAGTTCATCAGTTATTTCTTTCAAGAATTGTGCTTTGGTGTTGTATTGAAAAAGTCATTGCCACGCCTAAGATCATCTAGATTTTCTCCTATGTTACCTTCTATTTTTTTTTTTTTTTTTTTTTTTTTTTGCAGTACGCGGGCCTCTCACTGTTGTGGCCTCTCCCGTTGCGGAGCACAGGCTCCGGATGCGCAGGCTCAGCGGCCATGGCTCACGGGCCCAGCCGCTCCGCGGCATGTGGGATCCTCCCGGACCGGGGTGCGAACCCGTGTCCCCTGCATCGGCAGGTGGACTCGCAACCACTGCGCCACCAGGGAAGCCCGGAATATCTCTTCATTTATGTAGTTCTTCTTTGAATTCTTTCATCAGAGTTTTGTAGTTTGCCTTATATACATCTTGTACATTTTGTTAGATTTATACCGAAGTATTTCAATTTTTGGATGCTAATGTAAATGATATTTTACATTATTGAATTTCAGTTTTAAATTTTTAAAATAAAATTTTAATTAAATTTTGACTTCAAATTCCACTTGCTCCTTGCCAGTATATATGAGGGTGACTGAGTTTTGTGTATTAACCTTGTATCATGAAAATTTGCTATTTGCTATAATTGCTTATTAGTTCTAGAAGTATTTTGGTTGAGTTTTTGGATTTTCTACATAGACCATTATGTCATCTATGAACAAAGACAGTTTTGTCTTCCTTTCCAACCTGTATAATATGATATTGAAAAGCAGTAGAGAGTGGGGGACACTTTTGCCTTATTCCTGATCTTAGTGGGAAAGCTTCGAGTTTCTCACTGTTAAGTATGATGTTGATGTTAACTGTAGGTTTTTTGTGATATTCTTTGTCAGGTTGAGGAAGTTTTCCTCTATTCCTAATTTACTGAATATTTTAATCATGAATAGCTATTGGATTACGGTAAGTGCTTTTTCTGCATCTTGATATGATTGTGTGTTTTTTTCTTTAGACTTGATATGATTGTGTGCTTTTTTCTTTAGCCTATTGATATGATGGGTTAACTCAATTGAATTTTTAATGTCAAACCTAGGCATAAATCCCACTTGGTCATGTGCCTAGTCTCCTTGTATTATAATTTAAATGTATTTATGCCTTTTCCTTTCAATTTGCAATCCAGATGCCTGCAAGATCTAGATATGACAGAGAGAGAGAAAAAAAAATCACCTAACATCCTCATTTAATCACTGAATGAACCAATCCTTTTGTACCTATTCTATATAGTTGATTACCACCCTTACTCCCTTGGACTAAATTTACTTTGGGTAGAAGGCAGAGGGGATGTTAAAAATCATTTGGTCTATTTATGATTCTATTTTTTTCTCTTATAATGCTGTAATTCGATTTGAGTATTATAGGTCCTCTAGCGTTAAACTGGGAAAACCATTTTGTAAAACAAAACTTAAAATGTATGTTTCACCACCAATTTATAATGGGCATTATATTTCAAAATGATGAATTCATTAAGGGAAGGCTTTTATGTCTCACCTGTTTGTATTTTCATATCATTTGATCATCAAATAAAGTACTTAAGTTGCACTATTGAAATTGGTATTCTAGCATAAAGTGTGAAATATTCCAAGTGTTCTCAAATCTGTATAATTGAGCCCTTGCTTCTTCTTCCTCTATCCCCTTAAGTTGCCAGATCATTTTGCAAGTGTGGAATGGAAGCAGAGCTACTATGTTCAGTGCAGTGTCCCATGCAAATAAGTTGGCAACTTGTAGGTAGGCAGTAAAAATAGCACCAAAGGAAAGTCAAGGTGAACCTGTAACAATCTTGCTACCACTTTCACCAACACGCAACACACTCCTCTCACTTTTCCTTCCTCCTGGTAGACACATATTCTGTCAGCACTAAAAATGTCTCACTAAGACTATTTCAGGCTTTTCAGTGGGTAGCGATCTAGCACTGACCTTAGCACTGAAAGTTTACCAAAGAGTAGACAATGACAAATAAAAGAAAGAACTAAGAAATCTGGCTTCTGTAGCAAGCAACCTATTTGAGATCTGTATCTAATAGTATGGTGGATAAACCAAGCTTGATTATTAATCCAACATAGGGGAAATGACCTATTAGGCAGTGGATTAATTACTTCCTCTTTTGTTCCTAGCACTATCATAAAAGTAGAATAACATATGTAGTTAGCTAATAGCATATAACCCCAAAATAGAGTTTCTTTTAATCATCCCAGCCTTGGCCTAAAAATTTTATTAGCAATAATCATAGCTCAATACACAGAAAACTGAACTAGGAGAGCATACATGCAATCCTTGTATGAGAGAAAATTAAATAGATCTTGTCCATGTATCTCCAGAAATTTGCTGAGATCATGGGGAAAACTGTGATTTGCAAATCACATATTTCGTATCATACAATCTCAAATCTAGCCATGGCAGTTTTGCCAGGGTTATTGCAATGATATGGATCTAAGTATCACTATTTCTTCCTCTCAGCAACAAGCAAAGATGTGTTTTTTAACCAGATTTAATTGTAGCAAATTATGTGTGATTTTTGTCTCATAAATCCAAAAGGACGCTGAGAATACAGAATGGTCTTAATGTTTGAGATAATCTTTGACTGCTATGGAAAGAACAAGATTCTAAGCAATACCCAGTGTCCATGGTTACATGTAGCTTGGCATTTTCTTTTCACAAAGAGGAAATTATTTCTATTTATTTACACTTTCAAGGATTGTATGAATTATAATGTCTGTATGTATTGAACTCAAATCTAGCCTTGCACTATGTTTTAAATTATTTTTCAGTCATTTTGCATTATCCAGTAAGTAGGTTTCCATATTAGAAAAGCAACTCTAAATCCAAGTAACAATGAATAATATAAAATACGATAGAATTATTGATATCAGTAACATAAAACCAATATATACTTGGACAAAATGTGAAGCCAATAATTTCAAAAAGCACATCATATTGTTGCATTTGTGATCATTACAACTTTTTTGTTCATAAAATGTTTAAGTTCTTGTAGAATTAATCTATTAAATAATTGATCCTGATAGACAATATATAAGAAAATAAGTAAAATACTAGACCTTCCCCAGTTTTTATACAGAGCTTCTTAATATAAAATGGTAAAAAGTGTGTTCTTCTTCATCCTCCTCCTCCCTCTCCTCTTTCTCCGCCTTCTTTGCTCCATCTCCTTTTCCTTCTCTGCAGTCTAAAGTATAAGTAGATTAGGACTCTTCATCCAGTTGTAACTCAATGGTAAAATGAGAAATCTAGAAGTGATAATTTAATATTGCTGCTGGAGGCCAGTCCATTGCCTTTACTTTTCAAAATAGAAAGAGCAAGAAATATTTATTGGAAGCAAATCACTTGCTCCCTTCTCCAATTCCTAAAACTGTGGTCCTACACTGGGCCCAGCTCAGTAATGAGCTGTCTTTAATTAAAATCCCACTTATTGGGCTTCCCTGGTGGCGCAGTGGTTGAGGGTCCGCCTGGCGATGCAGGGGACACGGGTTCGTGCCCCGGTCTGGGGGGATCCCGCGTGCCGTGGAGCGGCTGGGCCCGTGGGCCATGGCTGCTGGGCCTGCGCGGCCGGAGCCTGTGCTCCGCAACAGGAGAGGCCACAACAGTGAGAGGCCCACGTACAGAAAAAAAAAAAAAAAAATAATCCCACTTATTATGAATTTGGTGGATATAGAAGAGCCTTTGCTAAGCAAAAATGATCTGCATAGTTTACCTTTCCTTTGATGTTTAACACAAATGAAAACAGGACATCTCTATACTCTACAAATGTGTAGGTTAATAACAACCCTGCTGTACAACCAGACTTCAAGGTCTTCTTTTTCACTTTATGCTCTGTCAATCTGGGAGACTCTAGGGATAGACAGAATGCTTTCCCCAACATTTCATTGTTTGAATTTCAACTCTCCCTCTGTCTCTGTCAAGGGGCCACAATTTTCAAGTCCATCCATTTAAGGCTGTAAAAGATTGACTGTTATATGTCTGTCTCTGCCCATGGGAGCAGAGTTATGTAAATAGACTGGATTGAGAGTAAGTGTCCCTCATCTAAGCTTCTCAACCCTGCTATTGCCATCAGCTGACTATGTGCATATAGCTAGGTAATTTGACCTATTAAGATCTTTGTTTTCTTTTCTTAGACTGTGAGGCTTAGACCAGATGATCTATAACATGGATCTCAGTCACTGTAGGATCCCTTGAAACTCTAAAATGTTCAGTTTTTTTTTGTTTGTTTGTTTGGTTTTTTTTGCGGTACGTGGGCCTCTCACTGCTGTAGCCTCTCCCGTTGCAGAGCACAGGCTCCGGATGCACAGGCTCAGCGGCCACGGCTCACGGGCCCAGCCGCTCTGCAGCATGTGGCATCCTCCCGGCCCGGGGCACGAAACTGCGTCCCCTGCATCCGCAGGCGGACCCTCAACTACTGTGCCACCAGGGAAGCCCTAAAATGTTCAGTATTTTAATAAAATGTTCCATGCTCCCCACATCAAAATAACAAATTCCTATAGCTGTAAAATCAATTTTTAGAAATATTGCTCTTAAAATACAAATGAACAGACCACAAAAACCTACACATGAACATTTATGGCAGCTTTTTCATAAATGCCAAAATTTGGAGGAAACCAAGACATCAAGACACCAAGACATTGTATTCATCAATAGTTGAATACATGAACTCTGATACATCCATGCAATGGAATATTATTCAGCAGTAAAAAGAAATGAGCTATCAAGTCATGAAAAGACATAGAGGAACCTTAAATGCATACTGTTAAGTGGAAGAAGCCAGTTTGAAAAGGCTTCATACTGCATGATTTCGAATACATGACATTTTGGAAAAGGCAAAACTAGAGATCTTAACAAGATCAGTGATTACCATGGGTAAAGGGGGAAGGAGGGAGGGAGGAATGAAAAGATGAAGCTCAGGGGACTTTTTAGGGCAGTGAAACTACTGTGGATGATACTATAATGGTGGATACATGGCATTATACATTTGTAAAGCCCATAACATGTATAACACAAACAGCAAACCAAAATGCAGGCTATAGATTTTAGCTAATAATAATGTATCAGTATTGGTTCATTGATTGTAACAAATGCACCACACCTGATGTAAGATGTTAACACTAGGTGAAACTGTGGGGCTGGGGAAAGAGGATGTGGAAACTCTGTACTTTCTGTTCAATTTTATGTAAACCTAAATCTATTCTAAGGAATAAAGTCTATTAATTTAAAAAAATGAACAAACAAAAAATAACTGGGTTTAGTTTTCCCTCAACAAGAATAGAGAGCTCTACAGTAGTTCCAGAAAGAAACCAGTCTCTCGACTTACATCTCCATCTTAAGCATCTCTGACTAGTGAAAGACATAGAAATTCAGGATCCTATGTAAACAAGTGAATTGGATCCTGATGGGTCTTAAACCAAATTCTGTTTCCCGGGTACTGAAATCTCTTTTCAGCCAAAAAGAGCTTAGAGCCCCTTTCTATTATGGACTGAATCGTGTTCCCCCAAATTTATATGTTTACAGTCCTAACCCCAGTACCTTAAAATGTGACTGTATTTGGAGATAAGGCCTTTAAAGAGATAATTAATGTTAAAAGAGGTCAAAGGGTGGGCCCTAATCCAATATGACTGATGTCTTATAAGAAGAGGAAGAGACCCTGAGGTATGTTCAAGCACAGAAAAAAGGCCATGTGAGGACACAGCAAGAAGTCAGCCATCTGCAAGCCAAGGGGAGAGACCTCAGAAGAAACCAAACTTGCTAACACTTTGATCTTGCATGTCCAGTCTTCAGAACTGTGAGAAAATGTCTGTTATTTAAACCACCCAATCTGTAGTATTATGTAATATTCCTAACAGACTAATACACCTCTACTCTGGTATTCTGATTCTAGTAACTGCCATTATCACCATAATTAAAAATCCAATTTTCTAATTATTTTAAATTTAATATTGCATGCTAACCTGGAAATAAGATTTCTTTGATCTTTAGATTTTTTTTCAGAAGTGGAATTTCATTACTGTCAAATATATAATGACACCAGACTGATGCCATGAACAATAATGTTGTAAGATTTGTCCCAGTGAATAAATGTCTGACTTGTGTGATAGTTTAATGTAAGTTCTGGGCAAAGAAAAATTATCTTATACATTTTTATGTTCTTTAAATTGCTAAATATGCCACCAAAATACAAGATTCTTGATAAATAAGAATTGCTGATTGAGGTGTTTCAAGCTTAAGGCATTTTGCTAAAATCCATTCTTATTAGACATCTTCATTATTATTTTGAAATCTTCTTAAAAATAAGTAATATTCAGAAAAATAAATTTCAAGTTTTAACTTAGAAAAGTTAATCCTTTATCTAACTTACCTTGTCTGAATATGAAAATTGTTTGTAGTTCCCGTATGCTCATAATCATGAATGGCAGCAGCAAACACCATTGCTAAAATTTCCAGTTCAGTGAGCCAGTGCTATTAAATTAAACAAAGATTCCATCATATCAAAAAGCAGAGTCAATGTTGTCTTTCTACAAAATAAATATTTTCATTGCACACAGTATAAATCAATATATAAATTGTTATATGAATTTTAAATAATTTTTTCCCTATTTTACCTCCATTAATTGTGCATAATGGATTCTTCATGAGGCTGATGATTGTTTCATGGCTTGTTAAGTTAAAAGTTCAGACATTATAATTTTCCTTGCTAATTAGAAAAGAAGTAATTTTCTATGATTTAAAAGGTGAACTCTAAATGGGTTTTGAATTTACAGCCTTACCAATTTGGGATCTCATGAAATCATTTCAGTTTAGTGATTTTTAACATATAACTCATACAACACTAAAATGTCTTTTAGCACAACTTTTGTAGAAGACCCTACTATTGGAAAATTTTCCACCTGTGAGTTGAGAATATTCACTTTGGTCATTAGAGAAACTGAACTTAGTTTTTATATTTAGAGATTTAGAAGAGTTTCCAAGAATTTATCAAGTTTGTTCTTCATGATATATATATTCTATGACTATACAATTAAACTTAATAGCAATGAAAGAAGAAATGCTTTCACGTAAAATCCAGAGCACTGCTTCATATACATTGATTTTTTTGTTGTTGTTATCAATTGGATGGTTTTAATAAAATTTCTCTACTGTTATAAGTCCATTTAAGGTAATTTGATAGTTTATTCATTACTCACGTTTTACATAACACTTTAATTGCATTGTTCAATATGATAATCACATATGACTATTTAAATTAAAAATAAATAAAATTAAGTAAAATTAAGTTCACTTTTTCAGTTGCAGTAGCCAAATTTCAACTGCTCAATAGTGGCAAGTGGTTATCTTATAGAACAGTACGGATACAAAATATTTGCATCACCACAGGAAGTTCTATTGGAGAGCGCTGTAAATAGGTGGTACTTGATGGTAAGAATAGAGGATCCAAAGTGATGTGGAACTTGCTATTAGTGGTTTTATGCCATACACTTGAAACAAAGACCTTGCACAAAGCAGCAGAAAAATATAAAGTACATGCACACTTGATGAAAACTCACAGAATAGAAGGGCAGATAGGACATCTATTTGGTGGCAGTAGATCTTGGAAGAAGGATGGACAAAGATTGGTAGCTAAATGCAAGGCTGGAAACAGAGAGATTCCAAATAGAAAGAGTAAATATGGAATGATACTATAGAGGCCTGTACGGAAATTGAATTGCTAATAGTACAATTGTGTTGGAGAGTCAAGTGAAGTGAGATTGAAGGTGGAGTATGGGAAAGAATTGATAAGCTACCTTGATTAGAGCTGATGAATTAAGATTTTGAATAAAAGGCAACAGGAAGCCACGGTAGATCCAGGGGTCTAACAGTGGAGGTGACACTGTTGAGTCTCATGATTGCTAAAGGCACAGTCTTATTCATCTTTGCTCCTTTCATATAACCCATCATGGTATTTGGCACATAGTAGGAACTTGGCATTTGTCTGTTGAATTGAATTTCACTAGTTTTGCATTTGGAGGAGGTAATTGGGAATAGTGGAAAGAGACTGTGGAATCAGAGAATCCTGATTTTAAGCCTTTGTTAATCCTCAGGCAAATAAGCTATTTACCCTCTCAGGCACAGTTTCCATGAAAATAGAATTAGTGATCATTCCCCTGTGGACTTTAAAAGAAATTTAAAGTTGATGTATGTGCTGTGCCTATTACAAGTCTTAATATGCAGTAAAATACAGAATAAATGGCATTTTACTGAACTTATTACTTTAAGTACATTGTTTAAGGTATTGAATCTGGAAAATAATAATGAGCTAACATATCTTTAGTGATTGCAATTCAAGAATAAATGCCTCACAGTTGGATGACTGAAGCAGAAATTATTTTTAGAACTAAGGAGAGTTGCTATAACTAGCTGCACTGTGTTTATAGGTGCATTTAATTGTGAGTCATTAAAAGGAAGGAAATTACCTCATTAAAGGTCTATATTACAGGCTGAACTGGGACTGAGCCTCCAATGTCCCCACTGAGACTGTGGAATTAAATACCATGAACTGAATAGCAATTGAAGTTAAACCAGATTTTGTAACCCCAGAAATCCGTTGTTTTAATAAAGAAAATTGTTATTAGAAAAAAATCACCTATTTTCTTAAGTATTTCCTATTAGTTATATTTAAGATTTACAGACTTACCTGTGATTTTTAAAAAGCAATATTCTATATCTACTATGATAATATAGAATATGAAGCTGCAATTGTAAAATAATTAAATTAGGAAATAAGAGCTGAATTTTAATTATAGATTATCTCATAAGTATTTAAAATTATCTTTCTAACTTTCAAAATTGATTATACATGTTTCCTGTTTTTAGTCTCGTTAATCTCTGCCTCCGGTAAATAGTACTTCCTTCATCAATTCATCTTACTTATTGCCACAGTATAGTCTTAACAATTAAGTTTACATTATAAACTAGTTTGGGAAGAGAGAAACATTGAACATTCACACTTAATTGAAAAATACATCTATTTCATATTAGTGAAAGTAGAATTGGGGGTTGATTTTTATGTCCTTAGTTGACAATTCATTTTACACTGCTGTTGAATGAGAATTCTAACTCAGAAAATGGTTGCTTAAATTCATGAATTTTGTAAATGACTCATGATGACAAGTCAGAGAGAATAAGTCTGAATCATATCATTCTTCCCAACTAGAACAGTGGACAGTACATGACCTAAGTTCTGATTCTTAATGGGCAGAAATAAAGGGTTAAAATGAAGAGTCATGAGCAGTGTAGACATTGTGCTTCATCTAAACTGCATTTTGCCTAGACAATTGCTCAGGTAGACTTGCTGTAAAAAGCACAGTCCTCAAATTATACCAGAGAGAGGCACTGACTTCCATTAATAGCATGTACAATGTTGATCGAAAGAAAGGAGAAGGAACTAACATTAACTGGACTTTTTAGGTAGATGGTTTCATTTAATTTTTATAATCACCCTATTTACCATTTACTAGGTAAATGTTTTAAATCTTATTTGGCAAATAACACAGCCAAATCCTAAAGAATTGAATCAACCTGCCAAAGGTCACATAGCTCTCAAGTGGCAGAGCAGGAATTCAAACTAAAATCTGATTCCAAAATTTCTGTTCTTTCCACAGATCACAATATTCCTTCCTTCTATGGATGACAATAGCCTTCATTATTCCAGGGTGGTAATATGCTGAATACATTCTTCTAAGATTTCAAAAGCAGAATTTTTTTTATCAGTAAATATACTGATAGGTAGAGAAGCTAACAAAGCTTTAAGACTTAGGATGTAATTTTCATATCTGAATTATTTAATGTGTGTGTTTGTGTGTGTGTGTGTGTGTGTGTGTGTGTGTGTACAACAGAGAATGTATATGTGTATATGTATAGGCCTGGGAGAATTTTAGGTCAGAAAATCACATTGACATAGATGCCAGTGTGTCTAAAAGGGTGTAATTAACAACCCCTTTAGCTTACATGATAGGTAGGGTTGGACCTTTTTTTCTCTATCCCTTTGAATAGACTGAGGTACTTTGCTATAACTTACTCAATATTGAAAGTGAGTATATTATAATAATATTAACATATAATATGCATAAGTTAATATGTATTATATAAATTACTAATAATTTTTACTAATAGCTATTATGTTTCAGGAACTAGGTTAGGATTACACATATGATATCATTACTCCTCACTGTTGTACTACAAGGTAGTTGGTATTATTAACCACATTTTAGTGACAAGGGAACAGATACGTAGAGCAAGTGAGCTAGGAAGTGGGGAAGTAGGGTTTTAAATCTGTGTTTGCTTGCCTTGAAAGCCCACACTCTTCCCACTCTTCCAAACACTGTTGTATTGGAAGCCATTTACAAGAACAGAATTTCCATGTAGTTTGCAGAACGGAGACATAGTGGCGAATTTCTGTAGATTGGAGAAAAATTAAGTAATTTCAGAGTGTGAGGGTCTATTTCTGGGTGTAGTCGGTGGACTACAAGTTCCAAAGGAATAGTTTTCAAGTTATCTCTTTTTCTTCTACTCTCAGTATTAGAGGGAACACAGTGCCAGGAGCCCTCAAATACAAGTGTTCCCTTGCCAAGGCCCTCAGATGATTTCATATTCAAAGAGACATTTGGAAGTGGCTTGGCAGCATTCGGTGAAGCATTTGCTCTTTAGCAAATGGATCAAGCTACCACACACTCCTATCACCGTGGCACTACACGTGGTTACAAATTAATTAAGTGACAAAAGGAGAGAGAGGGAGACAGAGGGTGTCCTGGCATCCTCTCTGCACTGCCTACTCCCAGGCCTGAGAGTGTCCCAATATGACATTAACAAACTGAAGGACAATGGCTTCATCCCAATCCCTTTCAGGCAATGGTCCTGTGAGCAATTTGCAGGTGACAGGCTGCACTAGTCATCTGACAGTGCTGGGCTGCTACTGGAGTGCTCCATAAATGTCATGCTGATAAGACCATCTTGAAACAGCAGGAGATGACTAAAACACTAAAGTAAGTGACCCTGTCTTCTCCATATCAAAGCTTAGGGGTTTCAGTTAAATGAATATTTCTGTAATGCTTTGTTTTTTGTTTCAAAGAACCAACACATTCATATGTATGAAAACTAATACTCTCCTACTACCATTTTTTAAATCTAAAGAAAAGCTTATTAAAATAACTTGCAAAAAACTCTCAAGCTGGCAATGCAACATAGTTTTGACAAAATAGTCAATAAACTGAAAATTCATTTTGCCTTTCCTTTCATCATCAACCATAAAATTTCTCATTAGTTTAAATGTATTTTCCCAATCCTGGACAACACTGACAGTCTCCCACCCGACTATTTTTGTAATTGCCAAACTAAGGGATAAGTGAAGAGTCCACCGACACTTTTTTTGGTAAAGGATGAATAAATTTAGAAATGTTTCTAAACCAAACCTGCTAAAGTAGAGTGAAGTTAATATATCTCAAAAAGTGACTATGTGATCTTTACTAACAACTTTAACTTTCTAAGAGTCATGCCAGGCTGCAGATTTCCCCAGTCTTCCATAGAAGTTGGAATGGCTTGTTAGATCCTGGAACAAGTCTTCCTTGCAAGTCTGAGGGTAAATGCACATTGTAGATTTGCATTTCTCTATTTACTCACCAATATAGCATCCCTCATCTGTTCAATGTCACCTTCAGAACTGAGGTTCTGAAGCTGAACTAGGAGTCTTTTATTTGGTTCCCTTTACACTTGTGGTACTTAAGCAAAAATGTATTTCAAAACAAAAATCTGGTTTCCTACCAGCCTGAAATGGCATATATCTTCTGGTTGTACTTCATAATTAAAGCAGAGATTTTTTTAATACCAAAGTAGGCATTACTTTTCCACTCCATTTTGTTCTGAGGAAACTGAATTAGTACAGTTTCTGTTTCAGACTAACACTTTTCAGTTAACTTTTCAAAGCCACAGAATTCAGGGAAGAGGAAATGCCAAACACTTGAAATGAAAACCACCTCACAATCAGATTGAATCCCAAGGCCTTAGAAAGGAAAAGCAAATCTAACCAGGAAGATGTTAAAGCAACTTTTTCAAGCGTTAACAGCATTTGCAGCTGTCAGGAGGCACTTTGTTTTTCACACTAATTGCCATGTATATCAAACCAAATGAAAACACAGAGTTCAAGAAACAGCTCTGACAATGAAGACTTATTAAACCAACAGAGCTTTAAAATAATTTGTGTGTATGTGTGTGTGCACACGCACACATGCTAGAAAGAGAAACAGACAGAAAGTTACATACACTACTTTAAAAAATCTTACAATATTTCGAAGCTATATCTTTGAAAGTTTCAGTTTCTACTTATTATTGCTAAGTTCTACTCCCTCCCTTTAAATGTCAAATCAGACTCTTGGAATGAATGGTGAGTAAACTTCAACCAAGGACCAAGTTCAGCCATGACTGCATTTGATTTGGCTCGATGGGCACATTTATATCTTAACTGGGTGATAACCACATTTACATCTTAAAAAGAGAAAACAAAGGTATAAGGTTAACATCACATATAATTCAGCCTTCTAGAAGGCCACAAGAGAGTCATGCATCAGTGAAGGTTTTTGAGATTTTTACCTCCCCATAGTAGGCATTAACTCCAAAGCAGGTTATAATTACTTAGTGATCCTGCCAATATAATGCATATTTCTATTGAATTGGTAGTGATATTCAAAGAAAATTCTTCATTAAAAGCCCAGCTGAGCTCCCAGCTATTAGCTATTATCAACTGCCAGCCATGTGAGTGAACCACTGTGGATGTCTTGCCCAGTGATGTCCTCAGATGTCTTTGACCATAGTTGCTAGCTGGTCACAATCACACAAGAGACCCCAAATGAGAACCTTCTAGTTGGGACCCTTCTAACTACAGACACCCATGAGAAACTGATAAATTATTGTTTTAAGCCACTGAGTTTAGAGTAGTTTGTTTTGGAGAAAACAGATAATTGGAACACGGGGCAGGAGTGGAATCTGAGCCCAAGGCATTGATGGATCTGCAACATTTTGGAGGCAAAAAAGATGGAGAAGTAAAATAGAGAATTTCTTCATTCATCACATGAGACACCTTTAGATGAATCACAGCAAAGGGATCTTATGTGTAGTAAACCACACACTGGATTCTGGGGGAAAATGTATACAATTATCATCTGTATACAATAAACTTGGAGAATCATGTACCTGCTACAAGTTTTCAAGATCTTCAGGACTCTATACTGTGGCCCTAAGGGCTTTGTGTGGGACCAGGTAAGGAACACAGTCTCTGGGGCAGAATGATGAGATATGGAGGAGTACTAGTTACACAGATCTGAATGCCAATGAGACTTACCAATAAAAAGAATGTGACTTTTGGGCTTCCCTGGTGGCGCAGCGGTTGAGAATCCGCCTGCCAATGCAGGGCACACGGGTTCAAGCCCTGGTCTGGGAAGATCCCACATGCCACGGAGCAGCTAGGCCCGTGAGCCACAACTGCTGAGCCTGCGCGTCTGGAGCCTGTGCTCCGCAACAAGAGAGGCTGCGACAGTGAGAGGCCCGCGCACCGCAATGAAGAGTGGCCCCCGCTCGCCACAACTAGAGAAAGCCCTTGCACAGAAACAAAGACCCAACACAGCCAAAAATAAATAAATAAATAAAATTTAAAAAAAAGAAAAAAAAGAATGTGACTTTTGAAATCTAAACAGGTAGGCAATGTAAATTATGGGGTTTGGTGGACCATTCTACTTATATGCATTTTATGGTACTGCTTCAGCCTAGGTTGATACATGAGGAATCAAAAATGTACTCAGATTCTGGGGATCTCACATGGCTCATACCCTTTTGAACCCATCCCAGTTTGGAACGTTCAGAAGGAAGGACTTCCCGTCCCTTTTTATCCCTTGGAAGTAATCCTATGCTCTAAGACACTATAGAAATTCTAGGCAGTCCCAGACTTCCCAACATCTACTCATTTTTGTCCCAGGATTTGCACTGCTGAACAAATACAAAGAGAAGGAAGAAGAATTCGGAAAAATCCAAATGAATAATTTCCAAAAATCCCTATTAGGATTTGATTGTAATTAGCAATGCAAACATGTAAAAGAGAAAAAGCTACTGAGCTCAGCTTGGGTGATGAAAGGAGGGAAGAGCACTACAACTAACTTTTATTCCAAAGACTTTTTCTCTAGGTCACTTTTCTGGGGGTTGATACCTATGGGAAAAGGAACTTACAAATAAAAAATGTTACATAGTCCAAATTTTGAAAATTTTGCTGTCTATTTTCATTTGCTTCTGGAGATATTTTTTCACTGAGTTAAAATATTTTTTGAAAAATGAATATTATAAAAAACTCATTAACCCTCAAAAATCCAGAAGATTATTACTTATAATACTTTTTTGAGTATTAAAGAGACAGTGAGAAGGGAATGGAATTTGATGTTGCAAACTAACAAACTTCAGTTACAAAGACTTTCTTACCATGATACCTGTATGAAGCATTATGTAATGCACAGTTTGAGTGACATCAGCTGCATGAATCAAATTGTGATACGGATTTTTGTACTTGCTGTAACCAACTTCTAAAGCTTCTGCAAAGGCAATTAGGCAAGAAACAGGAATCTGCAGAAAGTAACAATTATGATTATATTTTGACCAAAAGAGTGGCACTAAATCAACATGAGCACAAAGATGTTTGGGATGGGATACATTAGTGAGTCAGATGTGGGCAGTAGTTTCTTAAAGTTAAATGTGGATTGTTCTGAAAAAACACTTCATTAACCTGTCAGTTTTCAATGCTGAGAAGGATTATAACCCCCAAGTGTTTAATTAAGATAGATGAAATAACAGTCTTACCCATGCAGCAATCTTTAAATTTTGTATCTTCCAGAGTCAGATAAGAAGGCTAGTTCTTAAGGGGGTAAAATTTTCCAATTACAACTGGTGAAGTCTAGTTTTTCTATTGGTAATTCAGGGGGGTTAAAATAAATGACCTCTCAGTAAATTCTAACTCTAAAAATAACACAATTCCATAGATACAGGCTCAGAAATCTGAATCAAATCTGTTGCTGAGATGGCTCTAAGTGAAGTTAATTAGAAACCCTTTCATTTCAATTTAAGAAAAGCTGCCAATAATGGTTCATTCTGCATTTTAGGAAAATCATATTTCTTTAAGACATAGATTCCAATCTTTACATGAGTGTTCTGTGAATAATTCAGGGGGATGTTTGTATCTCATTGGAATGAGTCTATCATGGCTTTATGATATCCCAGTGGATATACAGAAATGTCAGTGATTTGTAGAGAATGGCTATATCAAGTGGTGAACTCGTCTCCTTAGTTCTGTGATCTGACAACCCAGAAACATTTTTAAATGAATTGATTAATGACCCAAGGTTCTGCATTTTCATTCTTTTTCAGATAACTCATTCTAAGAGCATTTTACTTTTGTTCCATGTTTCTGACCTTGAAACGGTTGATAAGATCATATCTGGTAAATAGTTCATAAATCATAAACTTCAGACTATGTTCTCCACTTGCTTCATTCAAGGCAAATACATCAAAAGACCATTTATCAACATCCTGTAGGAAAAAAAGTAAATATTTTAGTTGGCAATATCATATGATTCTGTTTCTTTCTATGAAAAAATTCTTGGAAAGCTCAGGCATTGTACATCCAGCAGGTCAGATTTCAATTCAGCACATCAAACTTCATTTTTACCAGTGCCTGATGTGACAGGGACACTTAGTATCTATGGATCCACAAAAGTGAGGTCAATAATGCTTAAGATTTTCCCCTTAATCCCAAGGTTATCCAATATGATGTAGTAAACCTGATAACTCTATAACACTGCCCATATTTTTAGTCTCTCTCCAAATGCATGCCATAAATTATTTTCCCAGAGTGGGCCTCATTTCAAGGTGGAATTGAAGGTTATGTGGGTGATGTAATTGAGAGAAAGAGGGAAGATAGCCCCAATTTATCTTTCCCACCCACCCACCCACCTGCTACGTTGCTTGAAATTCTACTGTTTAAAAGTTACTAATTTGGTTTAAAGATTTGATATTTTATATCTTTTTTTTTTAAGATGAAGATGCCCTAGAGAGACAGAGCTCTCTCTCTCGGTAGAGTACTACTACCTTATTACTCACTCTAACCTTGGCTGATTCATTTTTACTTTCTTCCAGGGCCAGACTGTAAGATAAAGGAAGTGGGTCTCTTGATTGAGGGGGAGGTTAGTAATTTTGGCATTTCAGGCAATTCCCCGGGGAAGTGGCCAGGCCTATAGGGAAATAGATACCCTAGGAAAGTCCCCCCTAACTGTGGGAAAAGAGGGCAATGAGCAGGTATATCCAACTACTCCAGCCACCTCACGACTTTGATTCAGGTAATTCCAGGACAAAAACTTGCAGAGGGGTCCACAAAATGGAATTGTAGCAAGTGGTATCAGTACATTAAGGAGGTATTAAGTACATCAGTACATTAAGGTAAAGTTTGAGTTGCAACAGTAAATAAATCACTGAAACTTAAAAATCTACAGAAATACAGCAGAATCAGTTCTAATGATTATCATAAATTATTAGTAAAGAAGGTCTAGTGTTTGCATACACACAACAGGTTTAGTATTGAACAGTAAGTGGACAACCTTAAAACTATACATTAATTTTGAATTTGAGCAGGCCCTGTTTAGAACTTCATTCATTTAACACATTTCACAGAGGCCAACAATACATGCTGTAACATGCTGAAACTAAACTGAAAATCTGATAAAAAGTATCCAAACCATCTCTTAAAATTATTTCTTTCCACAAATAGTAACAATAACATTAAAGGTGTTTTTAATCATTTCAAAACACCAGTGAAATATTTTTTGGTTTCCTTGGGTACCTTTGTTAAATTCCTTGCGTTTGGCCCTAATTTGATCCTGAAATACTTGCTTGATCAGTTTGTAAATTTAAAAATCTCTCAAAGTTCTGTTAGAAGGCATTTACCATCAATAAAGCTCAAAGGAGACCAACAAATCTCACCAAATTCCAAAGCTAACACAGAATTAGTTCAGAATGTTACAGGCTGCTATTTACAGCTCCCACTAGGGGTTTCCCACTGAGTAAAAGCTTAGCTCTCCATTTTGGGGGATTTTTTTAATCAACAATGGTGATTTACATCTGTAAACTACAGCAGATGCTTGGCTTTTACTTTGTCAGATTGAGAACAAACAAGACATGGAGGTATCTGAGGAAATTAGAATTACTAAAACATTCTTAATTTAGTGATAATTCTCTTCAACCTGTTAGTTCATGTTTTCCCTGCACTACATTTTAGAAAAATGTTTACATTCTCTCATACCAGAATACTCTGTTAACTGGTTTCTAAGAAAAATAAATAAAAATAAGTAATTTTCTTGCCCACAGTTCAGGAAATAATGAGGAAATCAAAATCTCTCAAGAGCCAAGGAGTAATTAATATCTGATAATGTGACATTTCAGTTATATACTTGCCTCTATTATTGCTTTAGAAACATGAATATAAAAAAGCTTCTAAGAAAAACAAACTACCTTTTGAAATGAATAAGATTAAAATCTAATATGCAGCAGAGAAAAAACAAATGCAAAGGGGATGCTTTAAAGGAAATTAAAGAACAAAAGAAAGCAATATAGATTTAAACTAGGAAAGGAGTTTAATAAATCAAAAATAAAATAACCCAGTATATTCTGTTGCTAGTATTCTTTAAATTTGTGGTTAATACAGGAAAACCACCATAAAACTGTTAGAGGAGACAAAGTTGAATTTCCTACCCAAATTAAGTGATGGAATGAAATAAGGAATGTAGAATGATGAGCCTACAAAATGCCTCTTTAGTAATAAAGTCTAGGAATAGTGTGCACGTGCACACACACACACACATGCAATGGGAAAAAGCAAGTCAAAAACTTTCACAATTTCAGATTTTCAACTCTAGTTATTTCTAACACATATAATACCGCAATTGGGCCTCAGACTAGGGCAGCCACAGGGAAAGCCAGAGACAAAAGATATGAATTTCTTTTTTGTTTCCTTTCTTAATTTTATCTTCCTTTTTATATTTTCTCGGACCTAAAATTCTAAACAATTTTACTCCATATAAGTTTTGCCTTTAACCATATTTGACTGAAATATCTTTTTATTTATAAAGCATTCAACTCTTTCATAATATATAGTAACAAAATATGTGTATTCTGACAAGTGCTGGTGCCATCTCAAAATTGAATTCAAGATCCACCTAAATAAAGCATGAAGAAGAAAACATCACACACACGTGTGTGTGTATATGTATGTATTGACATAGTTTGTTAGTGTAAATTGATCCTCCTTTAAATCTACAATGAGTCATGACTTGAAACACATGACATTTTGTAAATGGTTAAAATATTTTTTACATTCCAACATGTAAGCTGCAGCAAAGACCTATTCTCATCTTCTCCTAGTCCTTTTAAGGAGATTAGAAAAAAATGCCTATTTGTAAAACTAAAGTAATTGAACATTTTTTTTACCTTTAATGTTACTATGACAGCTTCTGGATATGCCAACCCAACCATGTGATAGGATTTTCTGTACATTCTGAAAAACAAAAATAAGTGTATATGTAAAACTCAGTTACTCAAAGTTTTCAGCTATTTCTTAAGAACAAAGAAAAAATTACCTTTGATTTGTTTACCGTGTATCATGTTACAGTCTCCCTTTGTGGCAACAATGACAACTATTGTCACCGCTTATTAAGCATCTACAATGTGACAGATGCAAATAGTACATTTGCATCACAACCACAAAGTCAGTGTGATTTTAGAGTCTATGTGAAGAGGACTTTCCCTAAACGTCATCTTATTAAAAACAGAGACTGTCCTTTGCACGGGCAGCAACAACACCTTTTAGCATGCCACCACATGCATGACAGCACAGTAGTCTTGTTTCATGTCTATTTGTGTTCCAAAATTCTCAGTCTGGAAGCTGTCATGGAAATGTTTCCTTGATAGGTTTTTTTTCCACAAAGTAAAAATTATAGGCGGGAATATGCACTATCATCAGAATTTACAGAGCCTTTTTTTTAAGTTAAAAATATTGGAGGAGAACATATTGACAAAAATTGCTTAAGTTTGTTCAAGTTGTCATTTAATATTATTTAATAAAGATTATCCAGAAAGAACTGGGTGTTTCTATTTTTATAATAGCATCAATAATAAAAATATTTTTTATTAATCAGCAATTTGTTGAAGTTTTCCAGCTTCCAATGGACAACCAAGATGACTTAAACCAAATATAAGAAACTCCTCCATTGATTCATGCAAAAATAGCATCAACATGATACCCTAATGGGTAGAAATAGCAATAGGTTTCTAATCAGGACTGAAAGAAACATGGCTCCTCCACAAAGTCCTATGAAGAAAAAATTTAACTGATTATTAATCATGTCCCTTAATTTTTATATTGTTAGTCCACAAGCAAGCTGCATTCCTAGACTATACTGCAGTAAACTCTCTTCCCAAGATGCCTGGACAAAACCATAATTTAATGATTATATCTTTAATTTATATTGGGGGTCAATATAAGAAATATAAGAACATAAGAAAATATTCTGCATCTTTTATAAAACCACTATGGGAGATACTAACCTTTTGATTCAATGTACCTTATATTAAAAATCCTTAAGATATTACTCAGTTTCTATGTACAAGCTATCATTTTTATCAAGATAATAAAAGCTAAGTAATTCTTCATGCTTTCCTTTTTAATCTTCACTTCTTGGAAGCTCAGAATTAAAATATTGTATTTACTTACATAGAGACTAGACTTCCTTGATAAAGTATCTTCCCATTATTATTACAGAGACCTTGTTACTTTATTTCCATGTTCCCATTTTATGGTTATCTTAAATGACGTTAAATAATTTTTAGGTGTGGCAATCAGTTATCATAAAAATTTATCCTTATCCTCTATCTCAATTGGAAGATTTCTTATAAGAAAAATACCTGTGTTAATTACTCCACTGAGATAGGTATAATTATTCTAATAATGCAGGGCAAGGAAACTATTTAATCACACTACAAAAGACCCAGAAAATAATTGCTGTCAGTAATGATATTTAGTTCCTTTTTTTTTTTTTTGTCAGGAAACAAATAGTCTTTTCTATCTATTTTTTGAATCATTACTAAAAAATGGAAGCATGGGGGAAATGGAAGGATGATGGGCAAGGACATAAAAAGGTCAGGAATAAGGAACCTTAAAAATTAAGTAACTAAATCAGTGCAACTTCATGGCACAAAAGGCAGTATGATGGAGCAAAGAGCACACATGCTTTGGATCGCAGGTTAGTCAATCACTAGTGTGACCTCTGGAAAGCTATTTAATGTCAGTCATCTGTAAAATGAGGAAAATTACATGCTTTTTATGAAGAGTAAATGATATAAAGGCCTAGCATAATATTATAAGTACTTGATACAAGAAAGCCCTTATTATCAGTGTTACTGTTCTCATCAATACGATTGGCTCCAATTCTGACATTCTTCAAGGCTCTTTGGACTCAGAGAGAACTTTGATGTTTCTTAGACTCGGAGCAGGTTGAGAAATGAATATCCCTGTATATTCTCATTATATGGAATGTAAAGAAAGACAAGGAAGAAGATTACTCATCCATGGAGAAGGAGAAACTTCCCCATTATCATTTTCTAACCCTATAATTGGGAATAGCATATTAGGATGAAAACTTAGAAATAGAAAATTAGGATGGGAAATTAGGACTACTCATTCTGGAATCAAATGAATGTGGGAGAAACCTTAATACAGCAGCCTCACACTTCAGTAAACAGTCACTATATTACAAGTTGCTGAAAAAGAATAATGGATTTCCTGTTCTCCTACAGGTGGTTAAAGTCCAGGTGGAAATACAGTAGATTACTTTTGGAAGGTTCTTACTACAGTTACAAAATATAATTCAAAACCTTAAAAAAACCCAATATCTTATGCCAGACACAGTGCTAAGCAAGAGACTATTCAGTGAAGAACAAGAAAAATATAAGTGCTGCTTTCATGGGGCTAATTCAGTGGCAAAGAGGGACAATAAATAAGAAATAATATATGATTAAAAACAGCACTAGGGCTTCCCTGGTGGCGCAGTGGTTGAGAGTCCGCCTGCCGATGCAGGGGACACGGGTTCGTGCCCCGGTCTGGGAAGATCCCACATGCCGCAGAGCGGCTGGGCCCATGAGCCATGGCCGCTGAGCCTGCGCGTCCGGAGCCTGTGCTCCGCAACGGGAGAGGCCACAAGAGTGAGAGGCCCGCGTACTTCAAAAAAAAAACACACACAAAAAAACAGCACTAAATGCTATGAGGTAAACCACTGGTTGGGATAGAGAAAGTGATGAACAGTATACAGAGTAACCAGGAAAGGCCTCTGGAAAGATAGAAAGGGCTAGCCAGAGTGAAGGGTGGGGAAAATCATTTCTGATAGAGGGAATAGCAGGATTACTGGTCCCAAGGGAAGCAAGAGTTTAGGGATATTCATGGAGTTGAATTCACACTTGTAAAGATATTCAGGTAAGGGTGGAGTAGCATTAGATGAGTCTAGAAGGTAAGGGGGCCTAGTCATGCAAAGCCATGATACAGAAGTTGCCTTTAATACCAAGTGTAATGGTATATCAAGTGAAATGGTAAAAACAATCAGATGGTTTTAAGCTTAAGAATGACAGGAACAAATTTATATTTTAAAAATCACTACAGGGGGCTTCCCTGGTGGCGCAGTGGTTGAGAGTCCGCCGATGCAGGGGACGCGGGTTTGTGCCCCGGCCTGGGAGGATCCCACGTGCCGTGGAGCGGCTGGGCCCGTGAGCCATGGCCGCTGAGCCTGTGCGTCCGGAGCCTGTGCTCCGCAACGGGAGAGGCCACGACAATGAGAGGCCCGTGTACCGCAAAAATAAATAAATATGTTAGATTAAAAAAAAAAAAAAAATCACTACAGAATGACTTCTTTGGAGAGGGCAAGTGAGGAATAGGGGAGCCTAGTTGAAAGCTACTGTCATATTTCTGATGGCAGGTGACAAAGGCTTAGTTTGGGGTTGCAGGAGTGGAGTTGAGAAAGTGAGTAGGCTCAGGATACACCGGGGTAAGCAAATTGCCTGGACTTGCTGAGGTATTGATTCTTGGGAGGGGCTGCTTGAGAGAAGACTCAAAAAGACTTTCTAAGTTTCAAGACTGAAGATGATTGTTTTTGAAAATTCAAGATAAACATATCTCACTCTGTTTACACACTTACTAATGGGGATTCAAAAGTAATTTAAAATTTTCATTTCCATGTGTTTTTAGCACATTAATTTCTTTAAGACTGCTTGCTAATTTAGTTACCTTAAGTACATTTTGATATTTCTGTGTAGCATATAAAAAAACTGAAAGTTTAACATGTCAATGTTTCACAGAATTTGTCTTGATTTTTCTATTTAATGGGAATGGAAATTTAGTTGGTTTACTTTTATAATTTACATTTCTTTTCAGTTTGCCAAGTTCTGCAATATTTTCTTAAACAAAAAAGACAAAATATACATTTCTTCATTAAAGCAAACATGCACTCTTTTTTCTCTGATTCTCTCACTGACTTTCTGAACTATGATTTAGATGTTTTCGAATTGATATTAAGGAAAATCAATAATGTCATACACTTGCTTAAGTTGTTTTAAAAAATAGGAACATAATTACAAAAATTATTTCTCTCTAGCCCTCTCTACCTCTGTGTTTCAGATTTCTGGTCCCACCTGGCAGAGCTGGGAGCAGTTTATGCACTAGGGGTGGGGGCGGGGGTTGTCATCTCACCTAACTCATCATGATTATAAGCTCATAATGCTTATTATGAGGGTTCTTTTATCAAAGCCAACTAGATATGGTCAAGAAATAGTCAAAATAGGGCTTCCCTGGTGGCGCACTGGTTGAGAGTCCGCCTGCCCATGCAGGGGATGCGGGTTCGTGCCCCGGTCCGGGAGGATCCCACGTGCCGCGGAGCGGCTGGGCCCGTGAGCCATGGCTGCTGGGCCTGCGCGTCTGGAGCCTGTGCTCCGCAACGGGAGAGGCCACAACACTGAGAGGCCAAAAAAAAAAAAAAAAAAAAAAAAAAAAAAAAAAAAAAGAAATAGTCAAAATAATTTGAATAATCACTGAGTGGTTGTTATTTTGGGTAATAGAGTCATAAACCAAGATCCTAGATGCTTCATGTCTTACGGTTACAATACATCTTTAAATCACTTCGAATACTTCTTGCAATGCATTGTCATTTAGATTTTTAGAAACCCAAGAGTGCTTCTCATTGTTCTGTTAGCAGAAGAAAATGAAAGTTTATAAAGTTCATTAGAGGTAATGACTAGAGATGTCTGAAGATAAAAAATGATGTGGTCTCCCTTAAATTTAATTTTAGATACATTGATAAAAAATTTCTCTGTTCCTCGATTTTATTTGTTTCAAAAATGTTAAAATAACCTTTTAAATGTAAATTTAATGTAATGTAATTGTTTTTTAATCCAAGGGATTTCTAAGAAGTAGTTTTCAACATTGTCAGATATAAGATGTTATTTCAAGTCTTTTTGTAGTTTTAGTTCTGAAACATCTTGTTTCCAGACAGAAAAATAAGCTGTGCTCTTAAAGGCTAAAGAATTTAAATTGGGTCATTTTAACATGTATTTCACTGTAGAAACTCTGGTGTTTCTAGGGGCCAGCAAGTGACAGAAATGCTTCAGTGACAGAAAGGTTGAAAAGCTCTTCAAGGAAAGTGGACATGAGAGAGCTTTCTTCCACAATGGTAAGAGAATGGTCTTTTCTTTTTAGTACCAAGAAAAGGCCTGCTTGATTTTGGTATGTAGTATAGAACTTATTTTATTGGGTGTTACATTGTATTTGGGTAAAATTAGGTGTAAAGCATATAAATGTATTATTAGGTGTAAAGCATATAAATGTGTTTATAAATGTATTATAAACAGTTATTCACAAAAGTTCATTTGAGGAGAATGGTCATTCAAAAGTCTTTGCTTTTAGTCTTTATGTCAATTTAAAAATAAATGAAAATAATAAATCCAGGACAAGAAAAAAAAAAAGATATTTTTGATATAGGTAAATTCATCATAAAGTCCTAAATCTGTTCATTCCAGTTATACTTATGATTACAGTTTTCCTCAATAAATAAAATACAGGACTCTCATAACTTTGACATAGTAAGTATATTTGCTGCCTTTTAAATTTTGTCTTGAGATACCAACAACTTCACTTACCTTTCCACAAAAATTCCAGCTTGAACAGCATGCACAATGCTCCGAAATCTTGGTTTTTCCTCAGATTTCTTTTTCATCATCCCCATTTTCCGTGTAAAGGTAGAAGCCAACCAGTCCCGGACTTCTGATGGGACGGAATCCGACTGAATGTCACTGAGCTCATCATCAGTATCCAGCAGTCTTCTACAAAAATTTATAGTGGTTAAACTTTAGGAAAAAGTGAAGAAACACTAATAACAAAAAAAGCATGGCAATAGGATTTAAAGTATAGCAAGTCACTCTCTGATCATCTTTTAATATGAACTGTCTTAAAAAATGATTGGGTTAACATTTTGAAATCTCTGAATTTCTCAAACTGGTCATCTTCTGAGGGCAAAGACTAATGGACTTGAACATTTGTGTATTCCCAAACATTTAAGTACAATGATATCAGTCTGGAGATATCGATTGTATTAATATATTTATAATCTATTAATATATAATAATATATTATTCCAATAATGAATGAAACTAATATAAGATAGGGAAAAGAGCTCGTAAACAAAGGTCTATTAAAGGAAGCAACTGGAGTGGAAAGAAAAAGGGGAGTCGAAGCTATAAAAGTTGTCTTATATTTAATAAGCTTGTGTATATTCAGTTCAGAAAGTACATGCTATTTGAATAAGGCCTTGGAGTTTACAGAAGTCATTCACATGTGTTATTTTATTTGATGGGTATCCCTAAATTTTAGGAAAATAATAACTTGAAAAAGAAAGATGAAAACAAGTGGATTATTTTGAAAGCTAATTTTAGGTGATTTAGCCAGTGTCAGGTGGAAAAGTTAAAGCAAATGATGTCTTGAGGGTGGAGATCTGATGGGCTTAGAACTGCTGGCTGAGGAAATCAGCTGTGTGAGGAGGAAGTGACCAGGAGCTGAAAGCACTGCCCTGCCACTCTCCAGTATAAGTTCCAGGTAGATGATATGGACAGGACTGACCAGAAACAATAGCTGCATTAAGGCTGGTCAGCTCCAGTGATCCAGAACTTCCTAAAGGTCTGAACTGGCAAGATAGTGTGAAAGGCTCCCCACAAAATACAAAAGGGACTTTACAGAGCAATTGAGCTTTGCTTTCAGGAAGAATACAGGTCAGCGCTGCCCTTTGCTTGACTAGGTTTTTTCCTTGTTGGCGCACCAATCTAATAACTCAGAGCTATTTTTGGTGCACTTTAGCTTTGACCTTTGGGTTCCATTCGAGCTAGTAAATTTCTTTGCACAGAGTGAGGCCTAAGGATTATGAGCCGATGGAAGGAAGGTAGCCAGAGATGACAGCGAGTGCTACAGCCTTCAGAACAAGTCACACATCATCTCCAGAGAGCAAAAACTACCAAAAAGAGACTCAAAAGATAATATGACTTCCTCTATATGCTACTGTTTATAAGCATACCGATGTTAGTCATTTGTCAATATTTATTTTTCATAGTACTAAATAAGTGAATGCATTTATGAAATGCCTTATGAAAAACTATATACAACTTAAGTGCTGGAGTTGTAAAATTATATGTATACATATGAAGATAAAAAAAAATAGTTGGAAGTTAATATTGAAGCTGGGACGAAGTGAGAGAGTAGCATTGACATATATATACTACCAAATGTATAATGGAAGGCTAGTGGGAAGCTGTTGCATAGCACAGGGAGATCAGCTTGGTGGTTTGTGTCCAACTAGAGGGGTGGAATAGGGAGGGTGGGAGGGAGAAGCAAGAGGTAGGGGATATGAGGATATATGAATATGTATAGCTGATTCACTTTGTTTGTTGTACAGCAGAAACTAACGCAGCATTGCAAAGCAATTATACTCCAATAAAGATATTAAAAAATATTGATTAATACTTACCCTAAATCATATTTAATTCTCATTCGGCTCTTACGTTTGGATGGTTTTCGTTTATACTTAACACATGGACATCGTAATTCAAAGCAAAAATTTTTTTTCTCCTTTTGACCATTTAAAATTAGATTCCTTAGCCAATTACAGCAAGCCACTACACTACATGGTTTGAAAATTTCAGGGCTTATGCCATTTCTATTATTATTGAATATGCCATTTCTATTATTCCTTATGCAGTGATCAAATAAAACCACAGAGCAGGAAAGATGGAATGGGAATCATTGTGCTGTAATCCTGTGATGTCACCATGCTCCAGGAATTCTACTGCTGTCTTGTTTTATAAGCTACGCTAAGTAGAATGACAGACACATAGTAATGGTTGCCAATTGCTCCTTTGCAAATCTGATTTGGATGACTTTAGGGCTATATGTCCTAAAATCATAAAATATCCACGACAGATCATCAAATATGACAAAATCAGCATATGGAAATGAGAGTTCATATAGGGATGTGGTACCCAGTAGTCTGGCAATCCCTTAGTCATGATGCATGATGTCATTTATTGAGAATGAAATAAGATATAGTTTCAGGGAAAAAAGAGTGATATAGATTAATTAATGAATATAGAAATAAAGAGAGCACATAAAGAGAAAAGCATGAAATATTCTATTGTATAACTAAAAAAGGAAATCTTGAAAAAGCAAAAAATACCTCTGTGATGGTTAATTTTATATGTTCACATGGCTAGGTTATGATGCTTAGTTGTCTGGTCAAACACCAGTCTAGATGTTGCCGTGAAGCTATATTTTAGATGTGATTAACATTTAAATCAATAGACTGAGTAGAGCAGACTACCCTCCATAATGTGAGTGGGCCTGATCCAATTAATTAAAGGCCTTAAGCGGTAAGGCAGAGGTCCCCCAAAGAAGGAATCCTGCCTCCAGACTACTTTCAGACTCAAGATTGCAACATTTACTGCTGTCAGAATTTCCAGCCAGTGTCAGCCTCCTTTAAAGTATAAGTCAGACCATGTCAATGCCTAATTCATACAGCCCTATGTAGCTCACCACAAACTATGTCTCTACCTTTATCTTTTAACAATTTCCACCTTATTCATTTTGCTTCAGCAATGCTGGCCTCCTTGGTATACTCAAACATGCCAAGCTTGCTTCTGCTCAGGGTCTTTGCACTTGCCATTCCCTCTGCTTAGAATCTCTTTTTCAAGATGTGTGCATCATTTCCTCACTGCGGCTTCCTTGACCCCCCCTACTCAAAGAGTAAACACTTTTATTCTCTTTATCCTTCTATAGACTTCTTCTTAGCACTTACCACTGCTGATGTCATGCCATATGTTTACTAGTTTGTTCATTCATTTTATGATTTATCCACTAGGCTATAAAGACCATGAGATCAGAGAGTCGGTCTGTTCTTGTGCACTGTTATATCACCAGCATGTGCAACAGTGCATGATCAACATCTAGAAATATTTACACTAAACTATTACAAGTGACTATCTTTGAGGAGTGGAGTGAGAATGGAGATGGTATAAGAAAGTTTAGTCTCTTAGAGTCCCATATTATTTGATTGATAAGAGCAGCAGCATCCTGGGAGTAGTTCACTATTGTCAATCATCTCTTCATTGCCTTTAGGTTAATTTGCCCTTGAACAATCTCTTTACAATTTTTGAGGCAAATTATAGGGAAATGTATATTTGACATGGAAAAGATATTAGACATTTTTCTGGATTAAAGACTTAAATGTAAGACTAGATACTATAAAACTCCTAGAGGAAAACACAGGCAGAACACTTTTTGACATAAATTGCAGCAATATCTTTTTGTCTCCATCTCCTAGAGTATGGAAATAAGAACACACACACACACAAACAAATGGGACCTAATTAAACTTAAAAGGTTTGCATGGCAAAGGAAACCATAAACAAAACAAAAAGACAACCTACAGAATGGGAGAAAATATTTGCAAATGATGTGACTGACAAGGGATTAATCTCCAAGATATACAAACAGCACATACAGCTCAATAAAAAGCAAAACAAAACAAAAGAAAACAATCAGAAACTGGGCAGAAGATCTAAATAGACATTTCCCCAAAGAAGACATACGGATGGCCAAAAGGCACATGAAAAGATGCTCAACATTACTAATTATTAGAGAAATGCAAATCAAAACTACAGTGAGATATCAGCTCACACTGGTCAGAATGGCCACCATTGAAGTCTGCAAATAATAAATGCTGGAGAAAGTGTGGAGAAAAAGAAATCCTCCTACACTGTTGGTGGGAATGTAAATTGATGCAGCCACTATTCAGAACAGTATGGAGGTTTTTTAAAAAACTAAAAATAGAGCTACCATATGATCCTGCAATCCCACTCATGGGCATATATCTGGAGAAAACTGTAATTTGATAAGATACCTACACCCCAATGTTCATTACAGCACTGTTTACAACAGCCAAGACATGGAAACAACCTAAGTGTCCATCAACAGATGAATGGATAAAAAAAATGTGGTATATTTATACAATGGAATATTACTCAGCTATATAAAAGAACCTATAAGGGAAAAGAATCTGAAAAAAAAGATATGTATGTATGTATTACTGAATCACTTTGCTGTACACCTGAAACTAAAACAACATTGTGTATCAACTATACTTCAATAAAAACAATGTAAAAAAAGAAAAGATATTAAACATTTCTAATAACATTTTGAATTAATGGCCCAGGAAAGAAAAATTTTTTAAATTGTATGCACTGTTTACATGCCTTCAGCCAAGGACCTCAGTATCTCTGTTAAGTATCAGTTATCAGAACTAACTCTTTTAGGCTCATCTATCAAGTAGAGTATGGTAAGAAATTCCTAATAAAGACACAAATAATTTGTATCAAACTATTTAAGATAATTTTTCAAGTTTGGATAGAAGAAAGTTGAAAGGCAGGTAGATAAAACTTAAATTTAAATGAATTTAAAAAATAATCTGACACACCTAATGGCACATATTTCTCCTCTCTCTCCCTTATTTATTTTTCCTTTCCCTGGCACCTGCGCTGTATACTGTTTCTTCTTCTGAGCACCAAAAGGAGCTCTTCGGATTTCATTTGACCATGCTAGATAGGGCAGGAATTAAAACTATAGTATAATATCAAATAGTAATCCTGGGCTTTTGTTAGAGAATTATCAGAAACAATTTTTCTATACATTTACCTAAGATGTGAAGATAGCTAAATACTTATATAAGATTATGTCACATGTAAAACATGTGACTACATTCTGCCTTCATTTCATTTTTGA